TTTTCATTAATGATGGTACTCCTCTGCTTGTCTATAGGCTAAAGTATAAGAAACATGTATATTGTGACATAATGCAAAGTTACTATGCACACAGATGTTTTTAGAATAAATACATTTTTATCTTCATAACAAAGACTCACCTCCAAAATATCATCATGTAAAAATTCTAAAATACAATTTAAAAAATGAGAAACAAGTCACTAATATTCAAGTACAGTTGCATGAAGCCAAAAGAACAAAAATCTCCTTATAAAAAGGTTTAGTTATAAGTACATGTTGAACTTTACCCTTGTTTATTTCAGGAATGTCCTTTTCTTCACCAACATCTACAAAAACAGATGAGGCACTTTTGTATACAGTTTTTTTAATATTTAAAAAAAAAAAGATTTTCATCAAATAAAAGTGGAAAATTAAAAAATTAGAACTTACCCACTATTTCTAGCCCATTCTGTAAAAATATCAAAGTAGTATTAAAATAAATGTTCCATCATTTAACATACTTTATGTAGTACTGTGGATAAATGTTTTTTGTTTTTTGTTTTACATTTTAAGCTTTGATAGAAAACACAAACTATACTTGTTGGTCAACATGCAAAACTTTTTTTTTTTGAAAAAACAAAATCATTGTTTGTATCTGATATTTAATATTCAATATTATTGTCAAACATCTTCATTACAAAACAAACCAGACAAATAATTTAAAACATCTCTTTAAGTTCTCTTTGCATATTGATATTCACGATTTCTGAAATATCACTATGCAACTAATCACTTACTGGGTTTAAGGAGAATGTTTCAGAAATTGCCATGATCACAAAAATAAAAGCACATCCTTTCATCCTCATGGTGCGTCTTTGATGAAACTTAAGTCAATAGAGATTCTACCAAGAATGAGGAAAAGCAATCACAAAATTAAAAAATATATAACTATTAAAGATTTGTATATATCAAACTTTATGTTGTCTTTACTTGTCTTTACCTTGTGCCACACTTGTTGCGTCCTCATCTGCATGAGAAGTTGTGCCTGTGACAGGAGTGTTAGAACCAGTTTTATACAACTAAAGCTACGTGCTTGACACATCAGGGAGTCACGCATATTCTATCTAGATTTGTTCCTGCTTTAGCCCACATCATCATTTCCTGTTATCTGATGTCTGTGACATTAACAAATCCCGAGTATTTGCATTACTTAAAGACATTCCACTTCACACCTAATTTTTACTAGGAAAACATGAACAACAGTTGATAACAATGATAAACAATGGAGATTTCTGTTCCAGGAAGCTAATGATCACCTAATAATCCATATCTCTTTGCAAATGTGTTATTGATCACGCTGAGTGGCTGTTCTACTCTAAGATGACACTATGGATTTTATGCGTTTGTATTCTACATCCAGGGCTTCCAGAATATTGCATCTCCTGTAAGTCACAATATACCAGTCACAATATTCAAAATTGGAAGTTAATGAAATTAATTATCAATATATTCCACAGTTGCTTGTTGTATTTAAAAGTTCAACTTTAAAGTTTTGATTTTAATTGTGATCATGACTTACTGCTATGACAAAGACTATTTAACTTAGACAGTAGGATGTTGTTTCAAGGATTTTCCAGGATTGCTTACTATCATAATGTCACCCTCCATTAAATCCATTTTTCTGATTTGTAATCTACTTCAAGCATGGCAAATTAACAGGGTGTTAAAAGTAAACAGTAAAAGTTTACTGGGTAATCAGCACACAAAATAACTTGTCAATTATATTCTGACAAAGATAATACAAGACGTTTCCTTCAAAAAACAACATAGCAGTACAAACTAGGTATAAAGAGCATAAGGAGAATATGTATTGTGATAAAAGGATAAAACCATTTGCCACACACTGAGTAAGGACATGTTCAGCCTGGACAGTTGTTCTGTGAGGAAGCATTCAGAAATTGACTGCTTTATCACAGTTCTGCTTTATCACAGTTCTGCTTTATAAAATTGAAATGTGTCTAAAAGACAAT